CATTGTATCATATTCTGACCTCATTTTACATCACTCTCTGTTCTATTCTTATTATTATATTTCTTAATTTTCTTCTGTTTCGTCCCAGACACTTCAGATCCCAACAGTGACTATGATGAAAAAAAAATAAAATAAATTGTGTTTCAAGATAAACACAAAACCAAGTTTGAAAATCAGAACTGAAAACGTCCAGTGGAAAATATAAATTCTTTCACTTTTCTGGAATTCAGATTTCATCACCTGGACCTGAAGCTTCTCAACACAAACATCAATAAATCAAATCATTTTGTTTTAAATGTTTGTCAAACGTTGTGCAACTGTGTACAGTAGATGTAAACACACACCTTCACACACCACCTCCTGTTGGTGGGGGGTGGGAGGGGGTAAGTATTAGTGTGTACTCTGTACTCCAGCCAGAATGACTTGTGGATTCCTGGCCCTAAAGGCAGCGTCTGTAAAGAGTAGAGAAGATGATGCAGACGTCAGCGTTCCTCCTGTCGATGAAGATCAATATGAAGTCACTCCTGGATTTAATTGATCAATTCTGTCATTGATGACGGACCAGGTGTCGATTCTGGGGGGAGGGGGGGCGCTAGAGAGATCAATATTTAAATCCATACAGTTGATGAACATGGGAATTCTGACCTCTGACATTTCGAACCTACTAGAACCACAATCCCTAACCTTTTATACAGACATATATATGTATTTTCATATATATATATATATATATATAAAAACAATGTCATCCTTCCAGAACATGTCTTAAGGTTCGAGTGCATAGCGCCACCTGTGTGGTCGAGAGGGTGAACTGCCTGTTCTGAAAACCTTTGTTTTTTTTCTTCTAAAACAAAATGTTACCGTATATATAAATAAATAAAACATAAACCCCCAAAACTGACATTTATAATTAAAAAAAAAATCTAAATAGAAGATAAGACATAAGATACACATCATTTCTGTCACTACAAATACATCACAGTATATACTGTATGTATTTATACATATATGTATATCTGTATATATACATTGTTATATATATATATACATTATACATTTTAATATATATATTGTAAACATATCATATTCATGTTGTAAATATATAGAGAAATCTATGTTTATACACACACATATATATATATATTATATATGTATGTATATATATATTTTATATGTACTGCATGTATACAGCAGCTACACTGTACTGTTGTTGACAGTTGTCAGAAGAGTGGGCCAAACACCCTGGGGGGGATGTGGGGGGGGGGCAGTTAAAACCAGTGATTGAACCTTGAAGGTTTCTGTCTGAGCACAGACCACAGCACAGACCACAGCACAGACCACAGCACAGACTGCCCTGTGGACGACTGTCCGTCTTTTCCTCTGCAGTTTCCAGCAGTGACAGATTGGAGGTTTCGGAGCAGAGAGAAGGAGGAGGAGGAGGAGGAGGAGGAGGAGGAGGAGGAGGAGGACGTCGTCGTCTGTGTTTTGTCAGGAGGGAGAGAAAACACCAGGAGGTGAACCAGCTGCTACTGCTCATACCAGAGTCACACTGGTATGAGGACCATGTCAGACAGAGCAGGTTTAACCAAATGCACTCAGAAGAACAGAACTCATATTAACAGCACACTCCACCGCCC